AAGCCCATTTTCCACCAAAAAAAAAAAAAAAACACCCCCCCCCCCCCCCCCCCCCCAATATGCATTATGTTCAGTAGCACAGACATCAGTGGATAGAAACAACAAAAAAACTTGGGAATTCACCAGAAAAACAATTGAAGAAAATTACAACGGGGAAGGAAATGTCAAGAGTTTCCTGTTAAAAGGTGGTGTTCTTTTAGCGGCAATGCACAATAAAAAACCAAAGGACATTCAAGTGTTTTGAGGCAATATGGATCACTGTGGGAAATAGTACGAAGACAGATTTCTGAGCTGCTCAAGGACCCAAGGTATTGCTCACTTTGGCCACTCTGGACCACCGAAAGGCTTTTGCATTCCTCTAGGGTAATAACCCAAAAGGCACCTCAACAGTTGAATCCTTATATGACCCCTAACTTTCCCCTCCCATTATGATGTGAAATTTGCCTAATTTAAGTTTCACAATGAACCCCCTTTCGGGCCTAACAACCAGCTTCTGTGGGCTGTTACACCATCTTTTATGAGAAAAGAAAAAATTGCATCAATGTAAAATACCGTACCAGCAACTGTTGCTGACACACTATATGATGGAAACACTTTATACAAGTCCAGCCAAAAAAAATATATATATTTAGTGGGGGGAAATGACAATAAAGTAAATGCTTCGTAAAAATTAAGATACTGAACAGAAAATTGAAGTATGTGAGCAATCATAACAGAGAATATATAAAGGCTGACAATATTGTATGAAAAACACAAGCATTTCCAAGGATCATTCAACAAAGGAACAAATTATCAGACATACTGCCTGACCAAGAGCACAAGACATCATAATATATATGGAGAGGATCAAGACAAACACTGATAAAAGAGGAGATAAAATTTAAGTAAGTTCTGATGCCAAAACATGCCTGACATGCACATCATGGAGTGTGTACAGCTTTGGACAATTTCCTTCCGCTCATTGGTTGAATCAAGCCAAACTCTTCGTGATGTTGATTGCCGTCTTCTTGGATAGAAGCTCTATCCTTCAAGCACATTTCATCACAGAAGGCCAGTACCGTATCTATTTTTAGAGCCAAACTATCTTTGCCACCTACAAGGCATTAAAATAAACATGAGCACATTGACCTGCAGTAATTTAGTTCAAGTTCATGATACAGCAGTTCAAGACTCCAAGAAACTACCAAAACTTGATGAAGAATCAAGACCCACCACAAGGAAACTTAGCCACCTGATACTATCTCAGTCTCAACCACGCTGCTCCCCTTCACCTCCTAACCACCCTCCAACACAAAGAAGAAAGAATAGGAAGCAAGAGAAAGGAAACCATTTTAGCCCCCCCCCCCAACTTAGGATGGCGCAATTGCTGTAGTTTTGACTTCATTCCAACCATGTATTAAAGGAAGTGTGCAGGTAGGTAGACAACTATCATGAAAACAGTCTAGCCATGATGAATCTCCTAAAAGGTTGAATTTGTTAGGACATTTCCACTACACATCACGTCAGCTTGGAATAAAATGGGTCTAAAAGGAGATACGAAGGCTGCAGATACCCAAAGTCAGAAACAAATGTATCAAGAATTTGTGTGTTTGGACTAATAGTTGTACTCTTGATAGGATGGATAAGTATGTGGGGATGCTTCTTTGCTCCATTTCCTAGTGACTTGCTGGATTTTTGGTTTTCTTTGATGGATAGAATTCCTCTTTCCGTCGGAGATGATGGAAGTGGATTTTTTAAACTTATTAGGGGAAAATATGTAGTATTTGGAGCGAGTGGTGTAGTTTAGGTCCTGTAGTCTTTTCTGTACCATCTTGATACCATTTTTAATAAATATCCTTACTTACAAAAAAAAAAAAAAAGGAGATACAGAGGCAACTAAGTTAGGAGGGAAACTTAGTTCATTCACATTATATTTCTTTAAGGAGAATCAAACAAGAGAGGGGGAGGAAAAACAAACAACAAGCAGAAGATTTTTTTTTTTTATCCATACAGTACCAAGCCATGTGAAAAGAGTAATGCTAGCACAAACAACTGAAACAAAACGAAGCTACTAAAGCCTCAGATAGAAATCATACCATCTAAGATTCTCTCAATAGTTTTATCACATGAAGCAATTTCATCTCCAAGTTTAAGTTGTTGATCATACTGCCAAGAAATGAATGCAAATATTACTGAGAACCAAATAAAGTGTAGGCTCCAGTGATCAGATTAAAAAAGTTACTCCACAGAATTTCAATATTGGAAATGAGAAAACTAATAGTAAATTAGTTCTTAAAGCATAAGAGACAGAAAAAGGAAAAACCCACAAGACTTTTGACCCATTAAAGGTGCATAACAAATTACTGACTACATTTTGAAGGATGAAATGCTTGATACATTGACACAAGTTTTAAGTGGTCAGGTTTGGAAAATATACATCATAGTCTTCGTCTTAAAACAGTCCAACTTAAGGAACTAAGGGTGAACTTAGTTTCTAATTTTGGATTAAACAAAAGTAAGATGAAAAAACAATGAATTAAGATAGATTAAAATACTTAAGAAGATCGAAGGGAACGGAGAAACAAATGTGGCCTTATAAGTAATATATGGCCACTTTTGTTTCTCCGTTTTCCTTCGATCTTCTTAAGTATATTTTAATCTATCTTATTTCATTGTTTTTTCATTTGACTTTTGTTTAATCCAAAATTAGAAACTAAGTTCACACTTAGTTCCTGGACGAATTAGAATCAACTTATGATGTACTAGATTCCTTATGAGAAGATTAAGGACTAGGAGCTCATTTTTTTGCTCATCTGGATGTAAATATGGGGGACCACACACCCTTTGTG